GGTTGAGGTCAGCGTAGGTTCCCTTGTGCAGTGCCTTCTTCATATCGAGCCAACTCCCATCATTCGCCCAGGTGTTATTGATGGTCCAGTCGGCGCTGGCCCACTTGAATTTAATGTCGTGCGGGTTGTATCGCTCGTTCATGACTTTCAGTTGCTGCTTTAACATCCCTTCCTGTTAAACAGGATTTAGTAGGTTGCATACATCCTGCCTCCAGAAGTATTTACTTTGACATAGCCATCGGATTCCGCGGTGGAGTTTGCGATGGCATGAAAATGCACATTGACATGGATATCTTTCCACGTGTCCAAGCTTTGAGCCGAGATTTCTTCAAGGGCAAGATTCTTGATCATGAGCTGCTGCGCCTGACTAGGTTCGTTGTTTCCGCAGTATTGATGGGCATACACTAACGGAATGCTGAAAGCGGGGAAAAGAATCAAGAAGAAGTGCATCCTGCCTGTTTTCTTTGGCTTATGTGTCTGAATTGTCGGGCCTTGGGTTGCGAATCTTGCACGATGTATTTGACAAGAGCTGTATTAATGATGTAAGTTGAAGTTTTGCGCGGACGTAGAGAAAAGGAGCAATAAGCAGGGAGCTTCTCAAGTTGTTATATCCTGCCCACTTGATAAGCCCCAGGGGACTTTTGTTATCTGTAGTTCCTTGCCGTTTACAGAAGGTGCAACTGCAGGACGTTATCTCGGCTTTTTACACAACCTAGCATATGATTCGATGTGGCTGCAAAAAAAGTATGACAGCCCTCCTTGTCAATGCTGCCACCATGCCCTTGTATAGCTAGTTAGGCCTGGGCTTTCGATTACCAACGTACATACTCTGTATATAGGTTAGCAGTGCAGCTAAATAATCCAATTCTCGAAGAAGGGGATTACATTTAGCTACATATTCATTTTGGCATCTTCCCCTGCCCATAGGCACCCATCGATAATATCTGTTTGAGTACCAGCTGTGTCAATGCGTAAATTGATGGGTTGGTCACTGTGGAATTGTAGATAGCTGTGATTGGTGTCTATTCCTCTATTTCTTCAGAATTGCCTCGCTGCGCGCGGCCCTTTTGGCACGTCTTTGGTGTGTGCCTCAGACTGCTAGCAAGGTCTCTTGCGTATTCCGTCAGCACTCCGCTTGCTGCGTAGCGAAGGCGCTTTGTGGGCACCTTATGCCCTTGATGAGCCCTGTTTTTCAACAATTACAAGTCCAAAGCCCAAATTGCACTGTGTTCCGCACATATGATGGTCTACCAGTGTCATTGCGGACCTTGCAAGGGAAAATGGTGGGAGATCTCAGTCTTGACAGGGTTAACCAGATCTTAACGAGGACCATAACCCAAATTTAGACAACTCCAATTGATGGCGGGTCTGGTATTCCAGGATTTTGAAGTGGAGCACAAAAAGTTAATTACTGAATCCACCGATACGAGCTTAATTCATTCTGACATGTACCATTCTTGCCACAAGTTCTACCGTGGGTCTCAAAGACACAACAACGGAGACCACTTCGATTCACCCCTATCGGCTGTCCTCGATTCCACGAAAAGCTTCAGCAAAGACAGAAAGGACTACCACCAGGTTAGTTCCATACCTTGATAAGAGGTGCAGATAGTGATATTAACAGGTCTAAAGCTGGACCACTAAATTTGTACGACAAATATGTTAGGAAAGGCCTAGTTAAAGAAGTGTTTCCATCAGGTACAACAAGATCATTTAACCTTAACCCAACAGCAAGAATCAGATAACTTCAAGCTCTTTTTGTTCTTGTACATTTCTTTCCAATCCATCGTTCACGTAGTTACACTTCAGCATCTTCCACTCCGCTGTCCAGTGATACTACCGATTAGAAACAGCAAAGGAAGTCTCAGACTAATCAAGCCCGAGCTTGCAGCGACATCTTAGCAGCTGTCTTGAGGACAGCCAATGTTGGTGCCGTAAACGCTGCCGCCGACATTGCCAAGTGCTAATCCCGCATTCACAACACCGGCAATACCTTCGCCAGCGATTGCACCAGCTGCAATCGCGTAGCAATATGTATTCCATGTCTTGGGACTATTGTGCCTCCAAACCTTGGAAATAATCGCTCCCATTGTTAGGGCAGTAGAATATTGGGTCTGAGGGATGACAAAGGCGATTCCGATACTCATCCAGTTAAGCAACCATTTCTGGTACTTCTCTCGCTCGCCAACAAGGTAGACCCTTCTGAATACGACCTGGAGGACAGCCATGACGCTTAAGACAATGGCAAAAATACTAGAAGATAAGGGGATGGGAATATTGGGCGATACGACAGCCTCAGCGATGGCTCTCCAAGCCGCAACGCTTGGAACGGAGAATTCGCAACGGTCGAAATCATTCGGTTGAAGGATGCAGGGGTATGCAGCAGCAAAAAGGAGAAAAATGCCTGACGGAGAAAGTTAGAAGAATAAACAGCGTCAAAACATCAGGCAGACCAACTTGGTGCGAGAAACATGGCAATGAAGCATCCAAACGCTTGCGCGTAAAATTGTTGCTTAGGTGGTGTTCGAAGAAGATATCCAACACGGAAGTCACCAATCAAAGTGGAGGACATGTCTGCACCTCCAGATGCAATCGCGCCAGAAATGAGATTGGTTGTAAGAGCCTGTGTAATAGGCATGCCCTGCGTGACCCCGCCGAACACAAGCTGCGAAATTTTGCCGGCTGAAGACACGGGCGAAATATTTGTGACAGCAACGGCGTGGATCACTAAGAACGAGAACAATACCGCAAGAAACGAGCCAAGGATTCCGAGACCTGATCTGGTTAGCTACAACTTTGTGTGTGACATTGTGCTCAAGGGGGCTGACATCGCATTACCTCCGTTCATGTTGAACTGGACCTCGAAAATGATAACGGTAAGGATGAGTACGGTTATGACGCCGCCGACCCACACCCAAATAGGGACTTGCTCCTCCTTTGTAGCAAAGTCTTCGGCGATGGTTGCATTTTCATCTTCTTCCCGTGCTTGGCGACACAGAAAACCATGGCTCCTTCCCTTTGCGATCAAATACGCGTTAATTGATGCAGCTGAGGCTGTCCACATCTTCGTTATTCCCTGCCATAGAATCCTATAACTAGCGAAGAACTCAGCAATCGAGTAGCAGAGTAGGACCAAAACTCCAGGCCACAGGAACCAGTAGCGTGGGCTTGGCACGTAATTGGGATCGGAAATCCCACCAAGTCCGGTAAAGGAGACCACTCCGCTCCATTTTGGATCGTCCGGGGCTAGTTGCCTGCCTTGGCAAATACCATAGTGAACCAATATTGGTCCTAGGAAACCCCAGGCAAAAAAAGTCCCGATGAAATACGAGATACCGACATTCAGACCGACAAGGAATCCAGAGCCTAAGAACTCGTCCATTAGTGATGTGCCCTTGCTTTCTTTGTGCTCAGAATAACAAATATACCAATGAAAGCTGGGGTCCATTCGACAAACCAACCCCAATTCTCCACGTTGATTGCCCAGTTGCTGTAGTTTCCCCATATAAAGAACCTGAGAACACGCTTAGCAGGGTACAGTAAAGTAACATGAACTTGCCGGCAAGCGTGGGTGTTTACCATGTGAAGATATGCCAGTCCCATAGAATTCCAGTCGCGTAAGCTGAGACAATCCTGAGAATAAAGGCGAACAAGAGTGACCATCCGAGTGCTTTGACCTTCTTTGTAGCTTCGCTTGAACCTGAGCCAATTCCATGCATCGACTGAATCGTTAAGGCAATTGCGGTTGCTGTTTTTGGTATCAGTGATGACGCCCAAGATGCACAATATTGACAGAATGGTGCTGACCTGACGGGAAAGATAGCTGGAGTTCTTTAGCAACATTAACGATGAAGAACTTGCGCAGAGGAATAGCAAAGAAAAGCCCGAAGAAAGAGCAAATGATGGCGAGAGTGATGATACGGCCAATATCATCTTGCGGTCTCTCCGACAATAAATTTAGCTGGTACATTGCTGGGATGACACCAATAAACAATGAGCCAAGACCACTGGCGCCAGTAGCACACGCTTGCAGGATGCTGTTCTCCTGGGGGCCGAATGGCATTCCGATGATCGGAGCACCAGCAAACGATTTGACACAAGCTTTGATAATTCCGAAGCCGAAAATGGCCCCGAACATGGCAGCTCCGAAACCAAACCCGGTTTTGAGACCTTTTTAGAAGGCATTAGTTTAGATGACGACAATTTGTGCTGGTGTTGAAACATACCGAGGTAAATATTAGCTGCATTCACAAGGGAGCCCAAAATCGTCCCAACAACGAGGGCGCGAATTGTGAGAACATTGTGCTCTTCAGGGAGCCCCTGAACAGGAGGAAGTGGTTTCCACAAATCAAAAACCTCGGTCTCTCCTTCATCCATGCCGATTTTAACCGTGTCATCAGTGACTAGCATGGCATGGCCTCCACCTGCAGCTTCCTTAGTTCCAGTATCAGATGGATGTTTCTCTGCGATGGCAGTTGGCTTCTCGCCCTTGATCGTCGCGATCTCCATTGAATTGTATTCCGAAGGATGATTCAGGTTTTTACTTTTGCTGCAGCAGGAAAGTATCGATGGCCGCAAGCGAAGTTCCAAGGGCGACGGCAAGAGAGTATATATGTACTGATCTAAAGCTGTAGATTTCAGCTAAGGACATCTACTCTACAGGGGTAGATGTAATTCATCCATAGCACCCACAAACGGATTTATTCACGAGGCAGCCAGATAAGGAGCGGAAGACCGACAATGTAACCGACATGGGATGCTGCCGAGATCCCGCGCCGGCCCACGACAAATCAATTGTGGTGTCACTCTGTCTCCGGTTGTCGGGATTGTCGCATCCTCAGCAAGATACTTGGAGCAGGATCGAGAGATAAAGCTTCATCGGTGTAGTCAACTAATAGGCCGACACTATTGATCATTTCCCCGAGGGCAGAGCAAAGATGGATCCGGTGATGAGGGGGTTGAGTGAGGTCGATAGGTCTAAAATAGGGGCGAGGTAAAATCAGTTCTTGATAGCTACAAAAAGATTCATCCACAAGCCAGTTAGATACACAATTAATCAGCGACAATACCACTAAACGTCTGAGCGTTTTGAGACAGTGCGATGGTTTTCAGTAGGCAATTATTCATATTACATTGCTGCCATGTATCAACGCAGTTGACGCTCGCTTTGGTAGGTTATTCTCCGCGGAGTCAGGGATACTGCTTAGTTGAACTAACTAGTGTCGGAAGCTGGAGTAGCCCCTGGCTTCTAGTGATTGAGAAATGGCTCAATCAAGATCATCACCCCACCCTGATGACAACTTTTCTACAAGGCAGCCGGACATTAGACCGCCGTATCATAGACCATATCCCCGAACATCAAAGCTTGGTTGGATTTAGACTGGTAAAATAATACGAGTGGTACTATACTTAAAACAACATGTGTTGTAAAGTGAGGTGATTATTATATGTATGACGCCTTCTTGGGATTCAACACCAACTTTAGGAAGGTAAGAAAAATTTCTCTCGATAAGCACGGGTTCACGTTGCCGAATCAAAGGCTCCTCCGAATACCTAGGTACTGGTGTCAAGTGTGGGCCTACATTTCTCCTAGCTATGAATATGGTGTCTATTTGATCAGTAGATTTTGATGGATCCCAAGCTCGTATTCAATCGGTAGCTCCAGATTGGCTTCAGCAAGGGAGGGATTACCAATCCCACGTTCCCCTATGTACCGGGTTATTTTCGTTTGTTATCTACCACCATATGGGTTCACCCGCGAACACATATGGATCTCTGGCATAGATACCTAAATAGGTCGATATGAGCCGACCGAGGAACCGGCCGAGGAGCACGCTGGTAGATGTCACCGGGTGTCGGTGTGTACCTTCCCACTCTTGAATTGATGCACGCAAGATAAAGTTCTCCCCGGTAGTCACGCTACGTAGATATAACCGAGGTAAATAATATTATTAGTTAACCACGCGCAGTCAGTCTGCTGTTAGTGATAAATCCCACCTCAGGACTATTCCTAGCGACATATAATATATGCTTCTACCACCCTATCTGCAACCTCTGTCTCGCTAGATTCAACTCGAAGCCCATTATCGATTCTTCTCCATTATGCTAAACCTGATCTCAATTCTCGCCATTGGCTTGGGGTCGGCCACTGTGGCAAGTGCGGCCCTGCTGGAACTGCCTATGATCGTCGACAATGGTTATGTATGATCCCAGGCTTCCTCAATCTTGTTTATCTGGAAGAGCTTTTGCTAATGTACTGGATGCGCAGACATTGGTAAACCTGAACATTGGTACCCCGCCACAGCCGCGCCGACTGCTATTCGACACCGGCAGCGGATCTACCTGGATCGTGGACTCGACCTGCGCCCGAAACTGCACCAACTCTAGCGGGTGAGTTTCATTGTTCCAAATGTTCTAACATATCCCCATCTGGAGCTAACATTGACGCTTCAGTTGGACTCGGACCGGATATGATATCGACGTCTCGAAGACAGGTAAATACACTGGCGACGCTGGAGAGATAAGATATGTCTCCGGCAGTAGTACCGGTGGGCCCACTGTGGAAGACAGGGCATGGATTGGGGATGTGTCGTGGAAGCAGCAGTTCCTAGCTGCTAACAGATCGACCTGGCCTGCTTTGCCTGCAGAGGGATTCATGGGCCTGGCGTTCAATACCATCCGTCTGGGAGACGCCCGTGTACTCCCTTGGACGATGATGCACAAAAACGTCCTAGACAAGCCACAATTTTCTCTCTACTATGGAAATGGGTCAACAGATGCCAATAACCGCACTGGAGGCTTGTTGACATTTGGTGGTTCGAGAGAGGAGGAATACATAGAGGGTGAAATGGCCGAAGTACCCGTTGTAAAGCGGAATGGGGAGTTTCAGCTCTGGCGTTCAAACCTTTTGGGTATCAGCGGATCTTTCACCACAACTAATGGCACCAGCATCCCGCCGATTGAGACCAGCTTGTTCAACAATACGGCCATTTTTGACACTGGGGCTGCAGCTATGTATTTTCCGGCTACAGTGGCAAACCAGCTCTACGCATCAATCGGTTGGGACCAGGACAGGTTCAGCAACGGTCACTTCCCACACTGCTCTGAGTTCAACAACACTTGGTCAGTGACCTTTACATTTGGCGGAGATAATGACGAAGCTCTTGCCAATGTAACCATGACTGGAGATATGTTCGCTATGCCCGGTTTCGCAAATCGAGAGGAATTATGCTGGCCCCCATTTCAGACGCAGAACAGTCCGAACGTCTCGCTACTAGGCAAAACCATGCTGTCATCATTCTACACAGTATTTGATTTCGGGGACTTTGATGAGAACCGTTACAAACCAACTGTCAGTTTCGGCAACTTGAAGGAAAAGCACATTGGGTAAATGGAAGAGTAGTGGTCATATGTCAAGCACTAAGGGTTCATATCATTAATACAGCATGTATCTGCATGTGATGTAGGGAAAATAGACAGCTAGATAAAAAGATACCCGGTCAGTTCATCCCATAGACTGACTGGCATGCTTGATCGACCATGTACTGTATTGGTGCGGAAGGTTTTAGATGACTAGTTGTGTGCGGTTTGTGCTTTTAATTCCCCCCTGACAAACGGGTAAAATTTAAGTCTTAGAGATCCGCAAGTTGCCCTGTAAATGTGGGTTAAGGTGTCAGCCGGTTGCATAAAGCTAACCCGTTTTACTCTCTACTCCGGCGATTTACGATTTTTGCGGATCTCTGGTGTGGGGTTTGTGCTTTTCTTCCCCCTGACAAACCGGTAAACTTTGGGCCTTACACTACAGATCCGCATGTTGCCCTGTAAAGGTGGAGTTTGGTGTCAGCCGGTTGCATGAAGCTAACTTGTTTCGGGAATTGGACATGCCCCTCAACACTAAGTGCACGTCTGCGGCCCTGGTGTCGCTCACGACTCACGGCATCTAAATGTAGCTCCGGCGATTAGGCCCACCTACGTCGAGTGATATCAACGCAGTAATCAAGGAGTAGTTATGCCATTAGGTACGAAGATGGTGAAATTTTCAGCTTGCCGGGAACCTTGCTGTTGGTATCACAGGCGTGATACATTTCCTCATGAGGGTGTATCTTCGGCAACAATCACGTCGATATCCGTGATTGTTGGTTTGCGTGTACCACAGGTTAGTCACACAGGTATTCCTGATATCGCGATCGGTAGCAATATCGTTGGGTTAATCTGGTGTTCTTGAGGGTAGTATCTGAACGCGGAGGCTAGTGATATGGAAGGAGGGAGCTGAGGTGTGTCACGTGTCTTCGGCACGTGACATAGCTCGGCTCCGTGTACGTGTATACCTAGCGATTACCGTTTGTTCCCATGGTGATAACTGCTGTTGTTCTTGTTTTTTCTTCTGCCTATTTACATTGTGCGCAGGGGCCGGTCGAAGTAGGTGGTGACGGCCTGGGTGGTTGCCCCACCTTTCTCCGGTCGTAATGACTAAGCCAGTTGTCCCGCTTCGTCCAGGGCAGGCGTCAGCCAGCCCACGATACCTGCCCATTGCTTCTTATCAGCCTTGTTGTTCCGACACTTGCAAAACATGATAGCGTGATTGCAAGCCACCTACATTCGAAATCAGAGAGCCTTCAAGAGATACTACAACATAACTCCAGGATTTCCATTTCGCCCGATGTCCAATCAGGATCATTTAGCAAGATACAATCAAGGAGAGAATTTTCAATATTAGGGTTAGTTGGACTTCCAGCCTGTTAGCAATACGGAACCCTGTTGCCTGGTATAGCTCATTGACGACAGCATTGTCTCTCGTATCAGGGGTTCTCGTAACAGCTAAAAGTATTATAAATAGCTATTATAACTTACTAGAACATGCCGTCGTGATTTAATTCTATATATCATCTACTTCATTAGTGACTTTTGGGGACTCTTTTATGTTACGCCCGCCGCAACCTGTCACTGTGGGCGCGTAGCTATATAATGCAGAACAAGGGAAAATGATGCCGGAGTCATCATTATCGAAGGTTTTGCTTTGTGCCACAGTTGGTTGCCTTGACCTACTCGTAACAGTTTAGACGTTGGATCCTTAGCCGAGACGCTGGGGTTCTCCTAAACAGCACATCTATAGAAAGCTATCTCGAAAACTACTTGTCTGTGCTGCAGAAGTCTGGACGACTTTGGTAAGTTCAATCAAAACTTTTAAATCGGCATACCGACAATGAAGCACTGATTAAAACTTTAAGCAACTAAACCAAGGCGATGAAATTAAAGGAAACCTACAATCGTGATACGCCCATGTGAGTGTTACGGCCAGCTAGTCGTAGGGGTATGTTTGCAGAAGTTGAGGCTGCGATACTCAGTAACAGTGTCGTAAGTCTGGATAGCTTCCTAGAAGCTATGTCTGTCAATCGTAGGGTAAGGCTTCGGTGATCAATCGTAGTCTTGTCAAGGTGATAGCTGAAAGCGGATGTTAATCCTGATACGAAGTTAATTGCTGAAGAAGCTATGGATAGTCTGTCCTCGAGCCCGGCTCGAGCCCGTCCTATATACGAGTCCAATTCTGACTGAACAGTGCTGAACAGTCCCTTTGTCTGGGTATGTTGGATATGTGAAATATCCAACATGTTCTTATCTTATTCTCATGTGACTTAATCCATAGTTCTTCCGTTCCGTTGGGGTTGTACCTGTGTTCCTTGGCTATATGCACCTTCTCCTGTAAAAACCTTTAATTGGCACATAGTGTTAAGAATTGTTAGGCTTTTGCAGGGCTTCGGCCCGTATCCCTAACGGGTCTTTATCATTTCCGTCTTCACTTTCGGACTCGTCCCTCAACACCACCACAGCACCCCTCCCCTTCTCTCCTTTCACAACACCAAACACGACGAGACCTCCCCGAAAGTGAAGTAGGGCGAGAGTTTAGAAGCTTTGAAGGTCACTCTCGCTCTCGCCGATCCGCGCGTCCGCCAGCCTGCGGCGCGCTGTGCCCGCCGCGTGCGAGCCACCACTCCGACAAGGGCTCGAATTGCCTTTGTCCACACACCAAAGCCCCGGCACAGCAGTTAGGTCATTTTCTGTCTCCGTGCCAGACCTCCTGTCTGGAAGGTCTTGAACACTTTCGCTCCTGCCAGAGCCTGACTTGTTCAGGCAGTAACGGAGAGCGATTGTTGCGGGCTCCTGTATCGCCATCGGCTGGGAGCCAACTTGCTGTACGCCTTTGTTGCTTCGCTCCAATGCAAAGTGGAGAGGAGAAAGGCGTGGAACCACATCACGACCGGCCGTGCTAGGTTTTTCCCCCTTATGGTTTTCCTAGCACTATCCGAACTACTTTCTTGTGGATGAAGCGACCCGGGAAAAGGATGGCGGATAAGAGAATTCTGGTCAGGTGAGAAGATTTGCTTCATTTTGGAGCGGTTTGAACAGGAGCGTTAGGTGAAGAAGTAGCCCTGTGACATAGTTGGGATTATTATAGACTATGTCGGCATCGCGCCGGACACGTCTGTTGTCGCTCGAGACGTTAAATATACCACCACCGCCACCACCACCTCCTTGACTATATGGATTAATGGCCCGCCGTAGCCGCCGTGAGCCTGCGCGATAGGCCTTGGCCCTAGTACGTCTGTTAGGTCGTAACAGTGAGATGGATCTCAAAGATGACAGAGCGCAATCATAAAGGATAGCGAGGTTCAGGACTGCAAGTTGTCTGACGCAAACTTTCTTTTCGCTCCGTGCAGTCCTCCTAAGTCCTGTTCGTAGCTGAAAATAGTTGGGCAAAGGTATTCAGAGATCATAGAGGTATCTATTCTATGGAGTATGATATGAAGTCGAGTCTTTAGCCAATGAGAACCACTCTATGCTTGATCTTTCTCCATAATCGGTTCATTCTCATTAGGCCCGCTCGCTTGGCAGCACTATTGTCGTGTTAATACAATCACAGCTCCTCCACTTGTCACGAAGTCAACTTTAGCACAGTCAATACTACTGAGGACCCAGTCAACACTGAAATTCCACAGCACCGGCAAACAGCTAAAATTTGCAGGATTACCCCACTGTTAGTGATGTCATGGATGATTCGGCGGCCTGTCGGTGTATCTAGGTGATATGATGCATTATTTGCCTTGTCAGTATCTGGGTCTCACGCGTAGTAATTCAATTTTCTCGGACAAGCAATATTCTTCTCCACCTTTAGTTAGACCCTCGGCATTCATGCCCTCTTAGCGTGTTCCACTTTCAAGCAAGCTAGAACCCCGTATTTTCACGCTTAGGCATCTCGTATTGTTCAAGGGGATTCGAGAATAGATGCTATGTACTCTGTGAACTACAGTGCCGTGTAATTCTTACCACTTTAAAGCAGGGGCTACTAAATACGAGGAGGCTAGTCTCCATATTCAGACGACACCGAGGCTGTCTGTCGTGGGCCCCAGCTATGGTAGCCCACGACCACTTGATAGCGGAGCACAAACTCCATGTCAGATGCCTTGCGGTAAGTGATGGGTGTGTCGGAGCGGGTCAATCTTCCCGCAAGGCAAGAAGGTATAAAGCCGGCTAACCTGCGTTGTAGGAACTTTTGAATAGCAAAAATCGTCAGTCTCTCATTCATTCAATTCGGATTCACTTCTGTCGCTAACTACTGTCTCTCGCTATTCATTGTCATATTTCTTCAACATGCATTTCCTTCACCTTTCAATCCTTTTTGGGCTGGCGGCTTCTGCAGTGACGCGTCAAGAGCATCGCTGCATTGAGCCGGCCACTCGAGTTGAATGGCGCGACCTCGAGCCTGAACTTCAGCAAAGCTATATCGACGCTGTTCTATGCTTGAAGACGAAGCCTTCGAGACTTGGCTTCAATACGTCATTGTATGACGACTTCCCTTACGTGCATCAGAAGTACAACAAGATCAGTAAGTCCCGTTCACTTCTGCCTTGAATGTTGCTAACTGATCCAGTCCACGGTATTGCCGGGTTCCTTCCATGGCACAGGTACTTCGGACAGGTCTATGAGGATGCGCTCCGTGAATGCGGATACAAGGGCGTTGCAACGTTAGTCCACTGTGTCCTTCAAAGAATCTGTTCTGACAAAATACAGGTACTGGGACTGGACTCTGGATGTCATGAAATTCGCGGAATCTCCCGTCATGTCGCCCACTTTGGGATTTGGTTATGATGGTAGCGACTCGCGAACGGAAACATTGTCCACCGGCCAGAAAATTCGATGCGTTGACTCCGGTCCCTTTTCCGAGCTCAGACCATCTTACATTGCTATCAACCCTACAACAACGATTCAAGAGGAGCACTGCTTATTCCGCTCATTGAGTGACGGCAATACTGCCAATTCTAGAATCTCGGCCGAAAATTATAACGCCACATCAATTGAAATCGTGCAGAGCGAGAAGACCTTTGAAACATACCGTCCGATGTTGGAGGGCGGTCCTCATGGCATCATTCACTCTTCACTGGGTGGAGAAATGAACCCAACTACGTCCCCGAATGGTTAGTCAATATGAATATTACACCAAATACTTGCTCACATGCCCTAGAACCGCTGTTCTTCTTGCATCATGCTCAGATTGACCGTCTATGGTGGAAGTGGCAGCAGGAGAGCCCTTCCACACGAGAGTTTGAATATTCTGGCCTGGCAGCGCAAATCAACTCGACAGAGCTAATTCCTGCGCACTTGGATGATATGCTGCTCATGGGTGGACTGGCAGAGGATCTTCGTGTTCAGGATGTCATGACTACTAATGGCCGTCTTTGTTATGTGTATTGAGTCATTAAGGCCGTCTAATTTGTTAGCTTCAACGGTAAGGTAGCTTTAGCTCCTCATTAGTGTTATTCTTTTCTCTTGCCGCTTGATAGAGAAACAGCAATACATAAACTCAGACTTTGATATATAGCCGTAAAGGGTACTCAACTATACTCGCTTTAAGATCTGTTGTATTATTGTTTATCTATTGTAAGAAGTGTTAAGGTTGATAATCCTTACATTCATCTTATTAAGGTTTCTATATCCCTAAGTATAAAGCTATTTTCTACTTATCGCAGAGGTACGCTGCAGAAAGGGGGTTGATAACGAGTTGATTTTCTGGTAGCAGGGATCTGAAGCGAAGTCATATTAAGTATGCCTGTGCTATAGATCTAGCTACGAAGTCCTCTATATTGTTAAGGGTCCAGCCCTCGTGAGACCACGGTAGGGGTGACTTCAGTATATAGAATCTAGGCTAAGGAGTAGGAGTAGGAGTTTTCTTGAGCGGGGGTTCTGCGGAGGAAAAGCGCTTAAGTAGGACCTTCGCGGAAGCAGCGCGGTAAACCGTGGCAGTATCCGGGCTGAGGCCTGGATCCACTAATCGGGTCTAGCCCGTAACAATAGGTGAACCCACGCACAAAGGCGGCAACACCCTAGATTTATGCTGGGCGTCCAGCAACCTCCATGGGGCATCCAACAGCATAGAAACGTCCTTACACACAACATCAGACCACGAATCTCTGCTTACCCGGGTCCCCTTGGCCCTGATCGATTCACCCATCCCGACCCCGGGAAGGTTTCGGCTCGACACGATGGACGAGGAGCTTTTCCTCGGCATCATTAAATGCAACTTACAACCCATGCGCCGCACTGCAAGCAACATCCAAGACCCACAGTCTTTGGATCTCCTAGCACAACAGCTTACGGACTGTCTTATTGAAGCACTCACGGCTTCCACAAAGCGCACGCTCGGGAAAGGTACAGGGAGACCATCCTGGAGCGAAAGCTGCACACGCAAATACCGAGCCTATGCGAATAAGCGAGCGATGTTGGTAAGACTCAGCGCAGCCGGAGTCAGCTGCCAATGGGAAGAAGAGGAGGTCGGAGCTCTAAAATAGGACTTCCTCTACGAGTTTAAACGCTCTAAAGATGCCTTTTGGAAAGATAAGATCTCCTCAGCCTCCTCAAGCAAAGACATATAAACATCGTGTTCTGCACGATCAACAGTTTGGAGCACTCCCTCTTCGCTCTTGCAGCGATCTCGTCGCAGTGGCCATCCACGACATCGAGTGCGCCTGGCAAAGAGGCCTGGTTACCTCTATACTTACGCTTAACATAAAAGGGTCTTTCGACGCCGTGCTCCCAGGACGACTGGTCCGACGCCTCCGCGAACAAGGATGGCCGGAGAACCTCGTAAGCAAAAATACCGAATACATCGATCCGTTAGAACTCCCCCCTTGGGAGCAACTAGCGGACTGGCAGACAGCCCTCGCCAGGGTCGGCTACGCGCCTAACAAGACCAAAGAAGAACAGGCCCTTTCCTTTGCAGGCAGGGTGGCAACTTTCTCCAAGCGGGATATTGTTGTCTATACTGATGGGTCCCAGATGTCGGACGGCAGCAGCACCTCCGCCGGAGCAGGCTGAGTAGGGTACCAAGCTACACGGCAGATCTTCCGCGGATCCGAACCACTCGGCTCCCAAACTGAGGTGTATGACGCGGAGGCACATGCTGCGTATCACGGCCTGATGGAAGCCGACCGGGCTCCTACGGCTCGTATGGCAGATAACATCCACATCTGCCTCGACAACCTCGCAGTCGCGGCTAGACTGTACTCTCAGAGCACAGGAAGCAGTCAGGCTAGATTCAGGGCCTTCAATAGGCTCTCTTCCTCCTGGACTCGGAGACAAGGAGAAAGCTGGACAACCCCCGGCAGAGTTTATGTTTGGTGGTGCCCTGGGGACACGGGAGTACCAGGAAATGAAGAAGCGGATGCTCAGCCAAGGAAGCCTGCAAACTAATCCCAAAATCACAACCACAGCCCTCATTAGCGCACCTAAAAAGGCAAGCTAAAGCAGCTACCTTCCAAGCCTTTGCCAGAAAATGGCTGTTCCAATGCCCTCGGCAATATGCCGACCTCGAGATAGTTCTTCATCCCAAGCCGTCCGAACTCCGCCTCCCTCGGCACCTACTAGGAAGGCTATACGCAGCAAGATCCCATCATGAAGACTTTGCAGCATACCACGAGAGATTCGCTCATCAAGATGCGTTGCTCAACTGCTGCTGTGGGAAACCCAAGACACCAGTCCATTTCTACTTCTGCAAGCGTGGACGCAAGGCTACTATTGGTATCACAGGCTATATAATACCGTCTAGACGGTATAACCTTTCGGCAGGGTAAAGTAGTACTATTTTATTAATAATACCTATGCCTAACAAAAGAGAGATAAAGGGGAAAGTATCCTTTATAGTAGTATACTATATATAAATAGAATAAGGGCGCCCTAAGCTAGCGATAGCTATGAATACCGGCAGGCATTCGGTCTATACGAGTATTTTCGGTCCGAGCCTTAGTTACCCAAGGGCTTCGTAGCTCGTACTTCTATGCGGTCCCCGCGCGGTCTACGCGCGCCGGCTTTTAGGCAGCTGGCCTATTCCAACAGCTACACCGCGCTACCTCCGCCAACGTATGGCCAAAGCAAGCATTGATTTCTTATTAGGTTCTACTAAGGGAGCCTCTCTTCTATGTGAATAGATAGAGGAGACCAATTTCTTTTCCGAAATTTGCCCGAGTCATTGAACAGGAACGTTAGGTGAAGACGGTAGCCTATAACATAGTTTAGATTAGCATAGACCATGTCGGCATAGCGCCCGGCACGTCCTTTTGTTACCAGACGTTAAATCCATCATCATCATCATCATCATCATCATGCCATGTTAATCTCCATGAACAAATCATGAGTTATCTTGTATTCATTGTTATTGAACTCAGGATTATATCCTCTACCCATAGCATCAAACGAAAGACCGTGGTGGCCCTGCAAGGGGCTCCATGGGACTCAGCGCTGCGACCGTCCTTAGAAGGCCGGCTGTCCTTTGGGGGATCCCGGGTTAGGAGCACACGCCAAAAGGTATCCTGACCAAGGCGCCACTCTGAGTAAACAATTAACATCGAGCCTCGCTGGTGAAGACTGTGGCCGTGGTCGAGAGCACTAACTACGAATAGTCTCGGAAACGATCTGCTCGCAACTCAACCCTAAGCGCCTTAGTGCAAGACAACATATAAATAAACGACAAAGAAGCTAACTAAACATGCTAAGTGAACGACGGCCGCCGGTCTGAGCGATGGACCGGACACGAGTAAGAAAAACAACGTCAACGGGGATACGCTGTTGGGGATGATGTAGAGGGTACTGGAGCAAGTAGCGGAACTGAAGAATGAGAGTAAGGAACACCAAGCGACTATCCTCGAATCGCAGCGGCTGCTTGTTGAAAGCTAGCAACACGACTGAGAGATTCAACGGCTAAGAGCAACTGGAACAGATCAAGCGTTTAGGCATGAAGTCGGTACAGTCGAGTCTCTAGGCACATACGCCTAGATCGCGAGTATCCATCCGAAAAGCCAACCCGATAACGTACAGGCCCTCTCCGCGGCAAATACAACACCCTCGACGTTTGTGGCCATACTTCTCTGCACTGTCGACGGGCCAAGGGTAGATGCAGCCGAAAAGGACAGAGTGACCGCAGGCACAGGCAGGTCAGCCGCGGAGAGGAGAGTGGAATGAGGACGAGGCAATGTAACGGCAAGTGAAGATGCAAGGCGGTCACTGTCGACGGAAAGTCAATACAAGCAGTATTAAGATCTATATACAAGCGCAGAGGGTCAGATAGTTCTTTCTTCACTCAACCGTAGCAGTGCTTGCAGCAGGCAAATCTTTAAGGTGCTCATAGACCCTCTTTCCCTTTCCATCGAGAACCTCCTGTACGTAGGCCTTGAACTGCCTTGGCTGGATGTCGGGGTAAAGCTCATGAGTTGTCAAGTAACCCAAATAGGCTGCATACTCGGGGGTGTTATCTCCTCGAACATCACAAGAATACCAGTATTGGTACTGAGTCAGAGTTACGAACTCCAACGAATCTGGTGAGGGGTGTGTCGCTTCAATTTTGGCGATAATTGCCGAAATAGCGTTGGCAGAAACCTGTAGCCATGTCAGCATAGTGAACGAGCTACAAAATATTCGCACGCACATATTTTCGCTCGAGCTTCTCTCCGCTTAGATCCTCGACCAGGTCATACAACTGGTTTCGCGTCATGACCTCGTTGTAAGCAAGAACCATGCGGTTCAGGGTGCGAGGATCGTTTATGATCCTAACCACATAGTTCCCGATGTCTCTGATATCAGTTAGAGCAAAGCGCACATTACCATCTCCAGCAATGCCGTCCGAAGTCTCCATGGCTGCGTAGTCGACGCGGCCGGACGGAAGCTTTGGTAAATTGACCTGGTACCACCAGCCAACATCAATCACAGTGAAGGGAAGGTGAATTTTTTTGATATGATTCAGAATATCTTCTTTCTGGTGTTGAGATTAGTTTTGCCGTCTTATCAAGCTGTACGGCAAAAGGATTACCATGTCTCTCAAGAGAAGTGCTCCCTTAGGAGCTGCAACCGTGGCAAAAAAGCAGGGCAAGTACCGTTGAACGCTAGCCGCCTTGGAAGCGTTGATCAGGGATATTTCGTCCATCACGCTGCCACCGTAAATGGCAGAGATCACAATATCTATCCCTACAAGAGCCTCAACCAAAGCGACTTGTGGGCCGCTGAGATCAGCCGCGACTAGTCTGACACCCTTCCTTTGCAATTTGACCGTTGCGGGTTTCTGCATGGAAGATGGCCTGGTGAGAGCAACAATCTCCTAGGACAGTGATACAACCGTCAGCAAGATGTCTAATGGAGTCAGATAAACAAAGCGTACAAACTGTTGTGAGGTCGATTCCAATAGAGCGTCGACGATGACCGAGCCGGTCTGACCGGTGGCGCCGATGATAGCGACCTTCATGATGAAGTTGAATGAAGAAAACGATGCGGTCGATGTCAATTGAACCAATTTGCTACGCCCTTCTTTTTAAAGCTTCCAGCGTGGTTGCGAGACAAGTCTTGGGATGGGAGATCCGGATTTGTGAGAGCTTTCTCCAACATCAAATCTCCGCCATAACAGAAACTCCGCATACTGTCGAGTGTCGGTGCTGCGGAGAACCGGCATGTCCGTAGCATTTTGCTCCCGCCTTGAACTGTAAGCAGCTTAAGTAAACGCCATTCACCATAGATATCACGTTCAGAACGATTTGAAATCATGATAAGGGCACCCCGCAACCTTGTAGCTTGAGGAAGCAAAGTCCGGAGTGGGGTAGGGCTTGTTTTGCAGTGGAGCCCATCGAGCCTTCTTCGTCCTTCTCTTGTGCGACCTCGGCTTCGTTCTTCTACGACAACACAACATGGACGCAAATTGCCCAAGATGGCGAAAGCCATTAGTTGGGAGGCCCCGAACCGTTACAGCTCGATGAGTTTCCGTCCGATAGTCCGGGAGTTGGTTGATTGATTGATTGATTTTATCTTACACGGTAATCAGCCGCTCTTATGTCAGCAGCTATGCCCGGATAGCGGGGCTTGGCCAACAGCCCGAATCCGTAGCGCCCCACTTTGCCAATGCAGAACACTGACCAGCTATCTCCCAATCTCTCAAAACATGAACAAAAGCAAGAACGGGAGGAGGGTTTTTTTTTGTTTTAGATTTTTTTAAAAAAAATCTACTGTTAATTGTTAAAAAGTCTCGTTCCGGAACATATCCTCTGTCCCTATGTTTATCCAATAAAGAGAAAAAGAGACAAAGAAAGAACACCCATTTAAAAACTTATTTTCGCCTCGCCCCTCTTTTGACGCCAGAAATTGGTAGCCTCCAACAGCACAGGACAGCCCTCCATTAGCCAGCCCCACTTCCTCCAGAATGACAGGCTTGCCTCCCATCCTCGAAGGTCCCATGACTCGCCCCAAATGATAAAGGAAGGCGAATCACTCAAGATGTTATCCACGTTGAGGAGGTCGAGGCCCAACTCCTTACTTTCAAGGAGGCCAGCCGTCATGGCGCGCAATACATTTTCCCGAAATTGGGGACTGGGAATTAGGTCGATCCATGGGTGGTGCATCACTGTGACTTGTAGCGTGGTGGGCCGAAGCCCATTAGGACAAGGCTGAGACAGTAACGACATCGCAGGGATATCCGTACCCTGAAGGTTTAACGGTGATACGAGATCGGGACGGCAAAGCCCCTTGAATCTGAATTGAAGTAGCACCGCGTTGTGGGCGATTGCACCCAGAACGTTAAGCCTCACTAATAATTGGAGGTGTTCGAGTTTTGGCGCGCCATGGTGGTAATCCTCATACGCTTTTTGCATAAATCGCTGAAATTCTGTACGCTTTTCAGAAGTAGGCAGGAGGAGATAACCTTTCAGTAGGACCATATTTACTCTCGTATCGCTCTCCTCGTCTTCTTGTGTTTGTCGTACTAAGGAGCTGTCATCGTCTGTAGCTTCTGCCGCGGTATGAGTAAGGTAGTCCCCTAATATTGGCGGGGGATTGGGGAAAACGCGTTTATTCTTTCCTATACCGCAATGCGCTACTCGTCAGTATTCTGGAAGTAGGAAAAACGGTATATGCGACTGATACGCACGACGGGTTCTCTGATTCAGTCGGTTCTGCCGCCTCCGTCTCTCCAAGGTGCATGTTACGCCAGTCCAGTCATCGATTGAATGATGGACCCCTAATTGCTGAGGCATCGACTCCACAATGACAGCACCGACCGGTAAATCAAGTGCCAGGTTCGAATCCATTGTTTAGGTAGTAGCACGATCATGCTAGCAGAGTACACAATTGACGGAGAAGCGGAGATGTGGTTAGATTCTGCGCTTTCAGGCCTTATATGCAGCCCGCTTACCCCCCGGTAAAAACCAGAGGCTGAGACAAGGTCCCCGCATGATATTTGAATTCCCGATAGAGCTTGAAGGGTGGGCTCTGAGATGGTCGGCACCTAATCCGATGTTGAAATGCATACAGCTGTATCCTATGTTAGCGCAGACAGGGTAGTCAGCAGGCCGCATTAGCTCGCTCGGGTCATCATAGCCACTGATATTGTCTGAACAGGTGCCAGCCCCGCTAAGTCTGCGGTTCATCCTTCAATAAACTTACCAGAGTGTGGATCTGGAAGGTCCAGGGGTTGCAGGGTTTGGGTGTTAATTTACTAAACTCAGTTAGGAGGGCGTTCTTATGTCCGCTTGCCATCTGAAGCTTGGTCTGTGGGCTGACTCAAGGGTCCCCACTACAAATGACAAACGCTTCGGTCTCGGATACAGAACCTGATATGCAAGTATTTTACAAATGACCTAATCCAATACTTGGTAACGCAGTGCCTTGATATAAGGCACTGGCTTTCAAGCGGTGGCTCGTCAAATCCATGTCATCCGGAATGTTTTGCGAACCGGACGAATAAGTCAACGAGTCGGCCGGAGAAGACATATGTAGTGGAAGTATAATACAGTGTATGTTGCGGAGTTGCAAGGTATGCATCCACGCTCATTCGCATACGTTGTACTTTGTACGCTATATCAAAGAGAAAAGAGAGGGAAGTCTAAGGTCCAAAAACGGGTTCACCAATCAAATATATGAATTACAAAATATGCATCCTTGTGTGTGTTTTCAAGGCAGTTGAAAGCTTCCGTAAGGGTCATGTTTGATTTGTAATGCCAACCAGCGTGGTAATTTGAGACCTGTAATCGACACAACTGCACGGAAGAAAGTCAATAGAGACATCCTGCGATTTCAACAAGCTGTTACTCGTATATGGCGGAAGCCATAGTATTCGACCAATTACGAGGTTGCTTAGAGGGGAGACTTTGTTGCTAGACTAGATAGGTCTCTGGGCTGGTACATTAACTCAGCGACATGTGGCGGCAAAGATCGCATACATTCTGGACATATTTGACCACTTTCGTTACGTAAAAAAGATCATTGGGCATCTATAGTTACAAGTACCTTATTTCAGCCCAAGGGAATTTTTTGAAATGTATTCTCCTCGAAGGTGATAATTATAAAAAGGTTTGGACGTTTAGGCGACGTTAACTTGAGGCTTTAACAGTATCTGTCTTCTGGTCTTGGGAGACCTCGCATATCTTAGTGATAAAATGTCCGTAAATAGAGTTTTTTATCTAAAGTAAATGTTTGTTTACGTGTATTCTCCCATTAGATCAGAGTCACGAGCAAAATCTGGTTTTTCAAAAGACGGCGATTTCGGAGCTCTAACCATTTGTACCAAGCTAACCGAGCGGAGATAGACGTACTAAATCATGCAAGTTGAAATCTTGTTTACTTGTATCGCCGGCTATAAAGCATGTTGAAGGCCTGCCTGTCTTAATCTGAATAAATTCTCACCAACATACATTTCCGTTCAAGCTTGTACCTCTTCCTTGCATCAGCTTGTGTCATTCAAATATCTTCAAAATGAGATTCTTCAATGTTTCTTTGACCTTTGGTTTGCTCAGTCTCGCTTCTGCGGTGCAAATCCAAGACTGGCAAGTCAACGATTCCAGCGCCTGCTCTCCAGGCTGTGTTCGCTCTTGTATCTTTGCTGGTATTAAGAGCGATTCCTGTAATGGCTGCCGTCTTGCCTTCGCTCTTCCAGGTACCAGACTGGGTCCGACCTACGATTGCCCCGAAAACTCGGGTTTCAAAAACTGCGTTACACGTTGCCCTGCTGGCTCAGTTGTACGTAAATAAGTATTCATATGGCTACGAAGGCTACTAATAGTTCCACAGTCACGGGATCTCTAGCATGGTTAGAGAATAGAAATATTGATATCTATGTTCGCGAGCATGAGGATAGCAGTAAATGATGGGGGTCTGGTTCCTTTTGAAAGGGGTGGAGGGGAGGTGCGCGTGGCTTGGATTATACGTGTTAGGGACCCTATATAAGTTAAAGTGTATATAAATCCTACGATGTCTCTTCTTTATCACGGCCAGCTAGTTATAGTAAGTATATTAGTAGAAGTTAAGGCTACGATACTAAGTAAATTGTTACGACCCAACACGTATGACGAGGCCAGGGTCTCGCCCCACAAGACCTGCGGCGGCTACCACGCCATATATGCGGAGGAACTCAGGGTGACTCCTCTCGGGTCGGAAGAACTATGGACAAGTCACGTGATGATAAGAAGGACCGACGGACGATAAGCGGTCCATGAACAGGACCGACAAGACAAAGGCGGTCCACCCCTGTAGGACCGACATCGTGATATCAGTCCCAACCACGAAGGAACTGTTCAGATAGTATACGGGACTTATATATAGGATGGACTCGAGCCGGGCTCAAGGACAGACTTTCCATAGCTTCTTCAGTAATCAACTTAGTATCAGATCTTACGATCGCTTTCAGCTATCTCTACTAAGAACCCTTTTGATAAGACTACGATTAATCACTAAAGCCTTACCTACCTCACGACTTATAGACATAGCTTTAGGGAAGCTATCCATAACTACGATACGCTATTACTTAGTATCGCAGCCTTAACTTCTGTAAACATACTCACTACGACTAGCTGGCCGTAACATAAATAGTATAGTATAGTCGTAAATAGCTTTCTTAAAACTATAACTATTTATAAGTTATAAAATAAATAAAGCTTTAGTAATTAATTAAAGTTTTATCAAAGGGTTTTTTTTAATAAAGATATCGAAAAGTAATCGTAAGATTTAAAACTAAGTTAATTATTAAAAAAGCTATAAAAGTCTATTTTCGAGCTTAGCTCGAGTTTATCTTGTATATAAGTCCTACTTATAAATATATTTTGTATTTGGTTTGTTTATTAGTTATGTTCTTTATTATAAATAAATTAAATAGTTCATATGCTTAGTTATTTATAGATTGCTTTGATAACCTTATATTTAATATATTCTTTATTATAAATAAATTAAATAGTTTATATACTTAGTTATTTATAGATTACTTTAATAACCTTATTATTATGGCCAGCTAGTCGTAATAAGGTAAGTTCGCAGAAGTTTAGGCTATAAGGACTAAATAATAGTAAATAAAGTTATTAGATAGCTTTGGGGAAGTTATATCTTATAAGCCGTAGGGTAAAGCTTTAATGATTAATAATAATCTTATTAAAGGGTTCTTAATAAAGATAGTTAAAAATGATCGTAAGATTTGATACGAAGTTAATAATTAAAAAAGCTATAAAAAGTCTATCTTTAAGCCTAGCTTAAGTCTATCCTATATATAAGTCTCGTCCCTAAATATATTCTTTATTCTTTAGGTCGTTCTAGATTATTCTGATCTAGAATAATCGTTTAGACCCTAAATCGTATTAGATTAAAATAATCTAATATGATCCTTATCTTATTAGTATATAACTTATTTTATAGTTTTTCCGTCCTGTGAGGAGTAACCGTATCCTTATTTTGTATATATATATATTATGTTATAGCCGCTGTGGCCTAGTAGCTGGCCTTTAGGTTAGTTATATATGTTAGGTCGTAATATTAGCTCCTCCTCTTAAAGGTCTAGTCCCATAGACCTATAAATAAATAGTCGTGACCTAGGTTGGGGTCCGTTAAGTTTTATTTTTTACTATATCTTAATATTATATTAGGTTGTATTTAAAAATCCGATTTTTATAAAGTTCGTTATGATAAGATTAAGCGTAATCGTTAGGCTCTTGGTGTTCTTGTTAAATATAGAGGTTACGACGTAATGCCGTGTTCTCTCTATTTCTAGTATAACCGTATATATAAGATGGATTTGTCTAATTTGAAGCGTTATAGCGAGTGTATTATTTATGCTTTAATAAATTATGATAGTGGTAATGTGGTAAATGCTTGTGAGTTTCTTTAATTTTCTGTTTTTATTATAGTGCTGATCGTGTTTATAATGAATTGTTGTTTTAAGGAATAGAAGAAAATAGAGTATGAAGAATAAGAGGCCGAAGAGGCTTTAGAGGTTTTATAAACTTAATTGATAATTACTTTAAGTCGTTTGTCTTGTTTTAGGAAATAGAAGTGGTTTTTAAAAGAGTATGGTTCGGATCTTATCTGTTGTGGAATGTAATTAGTTGAAAAATAGGAGGCTGAGGAGAGGTCCTTAGAAGTATAGGAGATATGTATTATAGATAATCTAGCTACTTGGGGTGCTCTAAATGAGACTGATTGGTCGTTATTGGGGACTGGTTTTGTGGACCTAGGGCTTCCTGCTACGAGTGAGCTTTCTGGGGCTTAGTCGTTCTTCTATAGTTGTTGAGAAGTTGTTGTGCGTTTTGGAGGTTAGTATATGGTTCTTATGTATTTTCTTTATGTCCGTAGTTTTTCTATTTAATTAGGAATTCTTGTGTTTTGTTCTTAATTTTATAATCGATAATCTGTTCGACTTTATATTTTAGTTAGTTTAGTTTTATAATGATGCGGTCGTTTGTGTGTGAGCCTTGGGTGCTAGTTTTAAAAGTGAGATATGGAATACTAGGTGATATTTTATAGTGTTGGGGAGTTTTAGTTTGTAATTAATGTTTGAGACTTTTTAGATGATTTCGAAAGGTCTAAGTTTTTTATAGTCTAACTTGTTACTTGGTCGCTTTGTTTTGATGTTTTGTTGGAGGAGATAGGTGTTATCTCCCTTTTTAAAGGTTAGTCCTTTAATCCTTGATTTGTTAGTATATTTCTTTATACGTTCTTATATAAACTCGAGGTTCTTTATGGCCTTGGCCTAGATCTCTTTAAGTTTTTTTACGTCTGCTACTGCCTTTATAGTAAGTGGTCCTTTGCGTGGTTCTCTATAGGCGGTTGGTTAGTAACCGATATTGAGCTGGAATGGGGATTCCTTTATGCTTTTGCTTACTACTATATTGTATGTAAACTGGGCTATTAGTAGAAGTTCTACCTAATTATCTTATTAGTAGTTTATATAATAGCGGAGGTATGTTTCGAGAATTTAATTAATTTTTTTTATTTGTCTATCAGTTTATAGGTAAAATAATGTTGATAGTTTATGGTCTGTGCCGAGTTACGAAATTAAAGATCTTTAAAACTTGGTGGTAAATAGCTTATTTTTATTAAAAACGATTTCATTTAGTAGTCCGTAGTTTGCGATTATTATTTTAAGGAATGTATATACTAGTTCTTCGGTATTGCTTGCTTCCTTATAGGATATAAAATGGGTATACTTAGTAAGTTAGTCGATGATAACTAAAATGCTATTGTAGTATACGTTCGTGAGTGGTTCTTTAGACTTGGGAAGTTTAATAATGAAGTCCTAGGAGATTGATTGCTATAGTTCTATTGGTGCTAGTAATGGTTGTAGCTCTCTATAGGGCTTATGGGGGCTGTTCTTACTTTTTCTATAGGTTTCGCAGTCCTTAATTGCGTTAGTAACTTCTGCTCGTGTCGTAGACTTGTTATAATATTGTCTAATACGTTTCTATATCTTCGTAATACCTTAGTGGCCGTGTGCCCTAGCACTATGGATTTCTATAATAAGCTTAGGGGTTATTTTTCCAGTCGTACTAGTATTAACCTTCCTGGCTATTATAAGGAGTTTGGTAGTAGGTATAAGGTCGCCCTTGTTATCGAATTTAAGGATAACCTGCGTTTCTTCGGGGACCGTGACCTCGTGGTCCGATCTTTTATTAAGAGCGTTTGCTTTATTATTTTTTAATCTTTTTTAGTAGATAATCCGGAAGTTAAACTCCGAAAGGAATTTAGTCTATTTAATCTACCGTTTATTTAGATTTTTATTTGTTATGAAGTTAGTAAGGTTCTTATAGTCTATATAGATTATAACCTTATATTTAGTTTTTAATAATTATAGTTTCTATTTTTAAAATACTTCGATTATAGCTATTAGTTCTTTATCGTAGATTTACTAGTTTAATTTTAATCTGTAAAATGTTTTAGAGTAGAATGTATAAAGGTAAAGTTTTCTTTATTTATCTTGTTAACCTAGAACGACTCCTATAGCGAAGTTTAAGGCGTCGGTCTTAATTTCGAAAGGTCGTTTTAGGTTGGGGATTATAGTTACTAGTTTAGAGATAACTATATTTTTAACTTTAATAAATGCTTCTTCGTAATCTAAGTCCTAAATAAATGGCGTATCTTTTTTAGTTAGGTTATTAAGGGGTTTGACTATACTAGTATAGTTTTTAAGGAATTATTAGTAGAAATTAACGAATCCTAAGAAGGTTTATATATTCTTAACGTTCTAGGGTATAGGCTAGTCCCTAACTACTTTTATTTTTAATAGTTATATATATATTTATCTTAGTATAATGTTATATCTAAAAAATTTAACCTTTTAGATGTGGAACTCGTATTTTTCGGGTTCGGTATAGAGCTTAGTATCCTAAAGTTTCTGGAATACTTTGTGGACGTATTTTTTATGTATTTTAAGGTCCGGAGAGAAGATAAGTACGTTATCGATATAGACGATAATGAAGATGTTTATATATTCTTTAAAGACGTGGTTCGCTATTGTTTAAAATGTGGCGGGTGCGTTGGTAAGTCCGAAGGGTATAATTAGGTATTTAAAGAGTCCTTTATATATTTAGAACGCTGTTTTTTATTTGTTGCCTTCTTTAATTTATATTTAGTTAAAGGCTTTCTTAAGATCTATCTTAGTAAACTATTGGGCTCTATATAATAGATCTCTAAGTTTAGTAATAAGGGGTAAAGGATAATAATTTCTTTTAGTAATCGAATTGAGTCCTTTATAGTCGATTATAGGTCTTAATTTTCCCTTTTTCCTTTTAGGGATAAAGAAGAGTGATGCACTAGCGGGAGATAAAGAAGGTCTTATATAACCTTTCTTTAGTTTCTCGTCGATATATTTATTAAGCTCTTCTCGTTTTAGTTCGTTTATTAGGTATAATAGATAGAATTTAGGCTATGTTCCTTCCTTAAGTTCGATTTCTATATCCTAGCTGCTATATTCTAGAAGTCTTATAGATTCTTCTTTTAAAATAAATAGTTTTGTATATTTCTAGTACTCTTTAGGTATAATCTAGAGTGAATTTGATCCTTAATTATTCGTACTAGACGCGATTATCTTAGTCGG